CAGCTGCACAACGAGAAACGTGAGAAAAGATCATCTGAATGAATGAATGAATGAATGAATGAATGAATGATGAATGCTGCTATCCTACCGGGTGCGGTGGCGTCGCACAACTACACGCCAGCATATTTTGGGAGAGTTCGAATATCTAGCAAATAATGCAGTTGGGTACGGAATACTTCTGCATACGCAATAAGTCGTCAGGGGACAACTCCATTTTATCCGTATCCATTCATCTACCAACCACTGGTAGCTATCAAAATAGGTCATTTTAGTGATTCACCATTAGACTCAATTAGACTGATTGTAATTGAACATGTTATCCCTGACTGTCCGGTCCGTATCCTCAGGTCGTATGCTGATGGAGCACGAGTCCATCAAGCTGAAGTCGCTGGAGGAACAATACCAAGCCGAGCTCAGGGAGTGGAAGCACTCGCTTAAACCGCGCAAACAGGTACGTGGACGATGGATCACTTCACTGAAGCGGACGTCATTAGTGTTCGTGGTATGGGCCGCTCCTAAGAGTTATTGGCTGACAGCAGCGGCTGATGCAGAGTTTTTCCAATGCCTCCCGCGGTCCATCTCCATTAGTAACTGGTTTGATCCATCGTTTTTGACTTTGGACTGAGAAATGTGTGCGCTATGCGTTGTCTTGTTTTCCGTGGACCAACCCTCTCACGTCCACCGCCAGAAACTGGAGGACGACTTTGCGGCGGAGCTGGAGGAGCAGGCGCAGTTTTACACTGGCTCGGTGGGCGCCGGCGGCTACACGGCGCCGCTGACGGACCGCAGCAGCAGCCTGAGCCGGGCCAGCACGGCCAGCTACTGGTCCCAGTGAGACGAGGGCAGCGCCCGCAGTGATCTGACCGAGCGATGAGCGCCGCCGCCGTCCGCGACACAGAGTATTTTTGGACCGCGCCGCCAACGGCTGCGTGTGTATGTGATGAAGTGCCGGTCTGCCCCGCGCCGATCTGTTTTATAGGTGACCGTCGACAATACGTCTATCGATCTGACTGGGTGGAGTTTTATTTTTCTGACGGCGTGCCGCCCGTTCCACCTGTTGACTGTGTATCATATGCGTTGTATTCAGGGGGGGGGGGGGGAGGGATAGGACCGTGCTCTGACCAAGGCGTGTGTGCGTGGTGAGTGGGAGGGCCTCCTCTATTTAATGACGTCCTCGTGCTGTCTGTACGCGCAGTGTACGGGTTAGTCGGGCATCTGTGATCGCCCTCGGTCGGCGCTGGCCCACATTCCGGGTGCTGCGCGCCGTCCAGTGTTCACCGGGAACCTGCCTTACTGGCCCGCTCTCACCACCGCCTTCTCACACAGAGTATCGATAACACGCGGGACCCGGCGCCACCAGTGGCAGCCGCCGTGGCATCCGTAGAGTTCCAGGCTTTATACTCGTATATATTTTCGTGTCACAAACACGGTGGTAGTCCATCTGCCGTGTAGGATCAGACGGTTTCCATGTGCTGTTCTGTACCTGGTACGTACCATGTTATTGCGACTCGTCAATAAAACGGTTACATACATTTATATTAACGCGGAAACATGTTTCACAGACGATACTAGCGGGTTATAACAGGACACTGCAGTTGGCGCGCCAAGCTCTCTAGCGACAGACGATAAGTACATAGTCTGGGCGGCCGGACGAGCGGCACCCGCCGACCAGAGCGGAGCGGCGACAGAAGGCCAAGGAGAACACTCGGTCCCAGCGTAAAATACTATGCTCGTGTGTGCGCACCCGCCGCCAGTGGAATAATAAAAACACGGTCCGGCCGGTGCGCGGACCGCACTGCCGCAGCTGCCGCTCCCCCGCCGGGCGCGCGCTCACGTCTTGCGGCGTTTTCCGGCGGCGTGGCCCTCGATTCCGGTGGCGCAGCGCTCGCGGGCCAGTTCGTAGTCGAGGCCGGGGCCCAGCTCGTCCGAGGGGCGCTTGGCTCCCGGGTTGGAGAGGCGCAGCGTTTCCATGTCGTTGAAGACGACGGCGCGGCCGCCGCCCACCGTGGGAAGAACGTCACCCTGGCGGCAGGAGATGCCGGCGTCAGACCAGACTGTGGACCCAGACTGTTCCACACAAGGCGACACGGAACGGAGCCAGAAAGAAGAAAACTACGACTCGTGTGGTTGGAGTTCGGGCATCACCGCTCTCTACGGTTAAGAATTCTAAAGCAGTTATGCTGGATCCGCTCGTCTCGCCACTAAGGCTGTTTAGGAACATTATATGGAATATGGAATAATGGAATATCGCAACTCTTCTTTGGCCGCCGCCCAACGGTGAGCTCCGGGCAGGTCTACCGAACCGTGATCAACTAATGTTAGGGAAGATTGAAATTTGATTCTAACGCCTCGTCAACGATATGCGCTTTCCCGAGCAGAAACACTATGCATATATGCATAAACAACATACATGCGTTTAAAATACATCATGCATGAACACCACCTTTCCATACGCCACCACACACCCGAGTACGGAAGCGATACCATGTTCCCCTGCTGGTTAGTGGCGGCGAGCTAAACACTAGCGGCTGCGGCGGCGGCGTCCGGCTTACCTTGACCATGTGGGTCTCCACCTCGCCCTGGGAGTCCTGATCCTGGTGCGTCAGCACGTACTTGGACGTCTTGTCGTTGATCACATCCTTGGCGTCCAGCTTGGTCACCGACTTACGCTTCTTCATCTTGGGCTGCGGGCCGGCCGAAAGGCGACCCCGTCAGCAGGGTCGTACAGCGCCGCACCAATCCCGTAACCCGGCACGCGCGCGGACGGGACACCCAGCCGAGCCCAGACTGTACACTGTACACCAGACGAGTCGAACACCGACGAACGGCCAACACCATAGCAAAACGGACAGTGGAGTGGAATTAGTGAGCTGGACGTGTTGAACGATCGAGTTGGTCAGTGAGTTTGCGAGCTGAGCTTTTGATTTGGCGAGTGATTAACGGTTGTGTTGATTAGTGAACTAGCGAATTGGTGAGTGAGCAGATGTCCTGGTGATTGATTGTATGTTGGTGAGCGAGCTGGTGAGTTGGTGAGCTAGCCGCGAGTGAATTACTGAGCGAGTCGGCGATCTCCCTCACCTGGAAGATGGTGGCCAGCTCGAGCACGTGGCCTGGCCGGTGATCCAGCCACACCTCTGCGTCCGTGGACTTGGAGCGGCGGTGGCGAGTGGTGGCCGCCACGGTCTGGGGACACAGCACCAGCCGGCCGTCGTCAGCACCGCACACACCGTGGAACAGCGCTGGGAGGACTTCAAAACAACCAACCAACCCACCGTCGGCAGCCACACAAATCGGAGACCGGCGCTGGCGGGCGACAAGCATATGCTGAATACAACCAGCCTTCGGATCGCCAGCCAAGTCCAATAATTGTACGAATCCTAGCAGGGCAGACCCCGACCCACAATCACCCCGAGAAGTCACAGGTGACGCGTCCACTGACCCGTTTGGGCTGCGGAGTGCCGGAGAGGCGCGGGTCGGACCGAGACGGTCGGAAGGTGGCCGTCTCGTTGGCAGTGCTCGGGCGGGGCCGCGGCGCCGGCGTCGGCGGCGCGGACGGCACGGCGAACCCGGCCTCATCGTTGTTAATGATGTCGCGCAGGGCTCGCAGCTTCTCGTCTTTGGCTCGCATCTCCGTCTGCCCGGCAGAGGAGAGAAGAGGGATCCGTCACGGCATGGGGACGCCGGCGGGGCGTCACGTTTTAGAAAACGAACATTACAAACATCCCCACTGTACGCGCAAGACAGGATACAATCAAAATATAGGCTTAGACGGCACTAATCAAATTTACAATGAACATGTTGACACCAACAATGAGAAGTTCTTAATATTATACCTTGAGCATTTCCCTGTTCATCTTGATCCTGCTCTTCATGTCGGAGGCGAGCCGCTCCTTCTCCTGCTGCATTCTGGTCTTCATGCGCTGTTTGACGCGCTCGCGCTCCAGGCCCTCCTGGTTCAGGAGCATCTCCTTCTCACCCAGCTGCAGACGGAAGGCGCGCCCAGTCAGTCGGCCGCACCACAGGTGACAATACGGGGTCAGCTGGAGGTAGGGCAGCTCAGCAGGTGTCGCAAACCAGCAGTCTGATAAACGCCGAAGCCCGAAACCCTTATGGCTGTCTTCCAGGAGGTCTACTAGGACCATGGACTGGTCCTCTGATTTGCGACAAGAAAACGACAGAACAATTATTTTGGAAAATTCATCTACAATTTCAACTTGTGATTTGCTTTTGTCCTGACACATTAACGAGGCTAGTCAGCTATGACATTGTAAAATAAGTGAGTCAATGACGCGTAATGGTCTCGAAATGTCTACGTTATTGAAAACGCACAAGTCTTTTTCAAACGCAGCATTTAGTAACCTCAAGGTTATTTGTCTATCATACGTGATGTACCGACCAGTTGTCTCAATCACCCCCATCCAAGTCCTCCCGGGGAAGGAGAGACCCTCAGCCGCGGCCAGACCCACCTCGTTGACTAGCGCCGCCTGGTTTTCGTTCAGCTCGCGGAACCTCCTGTTGAGGCTGTCGTTGGCGGCCTCGGCGCTGGCGAGCCGGGCCTCCAGGGCGGCGGTGCGCCGGCTGCTGCCGTCCGAGCTGGCGCGCAGCTGCGCGTTCTCCTGGCGCAGCGCCGACATCTCCATTTCGGTCTTGACCAGCAGCTGCCGGAAGGCGTCCTGCTGGCGCTGCAGCTCGTGCAGCAGCGTGGCGCGCAGCTGGACGCGCCGCTCCAGGAAGCGCACCAGGCAGCGCACCGTCTCCTCCTCCTCGCCGGGCGTCATGGCCATGCTCGGCCACACGGGGCCCAGGCAGAAGACGGGCGCCAGCTCGGCGGCCGCCTCACCGCCGCTCGGCTCGGCCTCCGACGACCGGCCGTCAGAGCCCAGACGCCGCTGCGCCTCCCGCAGAATCTGGCCGGCGGGCACACAGGCACACGGTGACAGTCGATACTCGACATTCGCCGACACATGGCGGTGATCTAGCAATGCAGCGAACGCTTCATATTTAGTCATGTGACCTGCAACAGTTTATACAATCGCCAAACGAATTAAAATCATTGATTAATTTCGTAGCAAAAACTGAAACTACATATAACCAAAAAGCGAGCAATATGACGTCAGTGAAGACCCAAAACTGATCATATACTGCAGTCCCTTCAACCCGTGTCACCCCACCCATACAGCCGGCATACTGTCTAGCGGGAGCGCCTCGATTCCACAGCGCACTGCACCGCTCCCCGGCGGATCAACTGACTCACCTGGTTGGCTTTCCTCCTGCCGGGCGTGAGGCCGATACCCATGTCGAGCGGCCGGTCGGCGGGCCGTGCCACCACCACCTCCTGGGTCAGCTCGGCGAACTTCATCACGTGCTGCGGGGGGACGCCGAGTGGTGGGTGGGTCAGCAGGGCAGGATCCGTATACACAGCGACAAAGGACAGGCAGCGGGCATCGGCACGGCGCCGGAGGGTCACAGTCGCACCTTAATACAGCTCAGACGATCAGCCGACTACCTCGTAAACATGGTCACTGCAGGGCTACACCCTCCTAGATTATGCAGCATGCACGCCTTTCCATGAACAAGTTTTGGCAAATAGTCAAACCCTACCAACTGTCTTTTTTACGGCAGGACCATGTCACTCACGATCGTTTCGTCGTACTCTTCTGCCCGCGGGTTGACGCACACGACCATCTTGACCTTGCCCTCTCCGTCAAAGTAGTTTTTGAAGAGGTGTGTGATGCGCGAGTCTCGGTAGGGCACCATCTTGTTGGCATTGTTCAGCTGGTTCTCACGCAGTGTCTCGATGCAGGTCCGCAGAACCATCAGCGAGTTGTTGATGTTGCCTGCCGGAGACCAGATACATCGTCAGCTGAGACGTCGGCGATCTCAACGCACCGATTTCTAGAGATCGACAAAGCGACACTGGCATTTTGGTTGACATAGCGACGGATATCACAGCAGCTATCTCGACAAATGCCCCTTTACTGTTCATGCTCTGATGTTTGAAGGCTCAAGAGGCGAGGTTTCAAACCGTATGACATGCAATGCTCCGCTATCAAAAAGTGAAAATATAACAGCAGCTGCAGGCAGTCCGCCGCTCCCGCTCAGGCTAAGGCCACGCGCCCGACTGACCGGCCTCTCGCAGTCTGTCGCCGTTGTTTTTGGTGCGGTTGGTACGTTCGCTGCCGGCCAGGTCGACCAGCGAGAGCTGACCCACGACCATTAGCGCCTTGTCGTCGAGCACCTCCTCGCCACGCGGGTCCAGCGGCGCCTGCACAGGGGCGACAAGGGTCAGTGGTCAGAGGCAGCGCGCATCGGGTCACCCAAGGGGCTGTTGTGTTTCCCCCGGCTACCGCCGGAGCGGTAGCGTAGCCGGTAATCAGCTCTTCTGGGCCATGTAGCCAGCGGCCAAGGCCGCCACCACATCGTCGCGCTGGATATCATGGGCCGTGCCGAAAATGTTACCCAGTGCACGGAGCCGGGCTAGTATGTGCGCCGGGTCGGTGTCCGCTGCTTCAGCGCAGACCAGGCAACGGCCCGCCGGACACTTCGCATTGAGCGCACTCAGGCGTTGGTCTACATCCAATCCGGTAAAGGTACTGCTCCGATCGGGCCCAGTGACCCGACCGGAGCTGGTGGATGTTGACGGTCACCCACGGGTGACACGGCGGTGACACGACAGGTCGCAGGATCATATCAGACTACTGGGTCACCTCACGACAGGTCACAAGGTCAAATCAGATCATGCGACGCGATCTGGGATGTCCGGCGGTCATGTAGCGTAGCCATTTCAAATAAAGGCGCATAAAAACGGAACAATCGTATAAATCACCACCGAATAACTCCCAGCTCACTGCCTAGTGCACATTATATTCTCCCAACCATGACAAATATCTCCCCCTACCCCGTCCCGTCGGCCGCCGCCCAGCGACCTCTCCCTCCCCTCCAACGCCGGAGATCCCCGCGCGCCACCGACCTGGACGACGCGGATGGTGAACACCGAGTGGGAGCGGCTGCTCTCCGTGTTCAGGGTGGTGTGGGCCACCTTGCGGCGACGCTGGCCGCGCCGCAGCGCATCCAGCGCCTCGCTCGGAGTCGACACTTCCACCTCGCTGGCGCCGTGCACGTAAATGTTCTTGTTGTTGTCCTCCCGCAGCATGCGTGATTGCAGCGACCTGTCGGGAGAGGGAGATTAACTTAGTTTAAGACTGCTGAGCACAGGGCATAAGTGACTCATGACCGATAATACGTTTCTAAGTCGAAAACAAATTAGCTTTACGACAGTCTATCCAATCGGTGAGACGATATTGATTATTGAACGTCACCGTTGCTCACTTTTTCATGTTTTCCGGCGCCACCTCCTCCAGCAGGTCGTAGACGTAGTTATTGTAGATCTCCACGTAGGAGACGAAGACGGCGAACGCGTTGTCCTCGTCCAGGCCGGACACCTGGCTGACCTCGGGTACCCGAGTGGAGGCCGCGTCACTCTCGTCCGGGGTGACGCTGCCGCTGCCGCCGCCGCCCCCGCCACCGCCTGGGGTGGGCGGTACGCGTCTGCGGCACACAGAAACATACGTCGTCACTCGTGAGGTACTCTGCACATGTAGCACACAAATCGAGAGGTCTAACACAGTTCACACAATAATCAGCCCCACCACACTCCAAGACCAGCAGTGAGAGCGGCCATCTCTTCCTTACAAACAGATTACATATGCAAGTCATGAGAAACTCACTGGAAACGGGGAGCGGCCTCGTCCTCACGACCTTCCTAACGTATTAACGAATTCCAACGGCCATCAGCGCGGCATATTCGGTTGGGCCGCACCCCCAAGACAAACGCCACCTTATCACCCATTCAGCCGCACCTTGAGCCGCCCAAGACCACCCCAGAACCCACCTTTTGCGCGGAGTTTTGCCCGGCTTGGGCGTGTTGAGGATTTCCCGCTGGCGATCCAGCATGGCGTCTGCCTCCGTCTGCACGTCAAACGAGTTCAGGCGGTCCGGCTTGAACACGAACCGGCGCGCCTGGTAGTTGACGATGCTGTTGAAGATGACGTCGATGCAGCGCGGCATGATGCCTCCGTCCTGCTGAGAGCCTGCCGAAGAGGAGCCCGCTGTCAGCGCTGGCGGACGGCTACTGACACGGTCGGCCAACAGCAGCGGCATCCGAGCGCCGAAACTGCTATTACCTACTTGGGCATACCGTGGCCGAAGCAGAAAAGCGTATGCGACAACGGAATTCCAGTTATTAGCAAAATAGCATGGCACAATAGATTATCACGAGATATTCGCGCACAAAATGAAAATGAACGAGCAGTAGTGACCTTAATGCCGATAAACCTGTTCTGGTAGGGTTCCGACCGGATTCCCCATCCACGCCGACGGTAGCCGACTCACCCATCATGGTGTGCGTTTTGCCGCTGCCCGTGATGCCGTAGGCGAACAGCAGGCCGTTCTTGCCGTTGAGCAGGTCGCGTACCAGCGGCTTGGCCACGGCGTCGAACAGCTGCTTCTGAGTGGCCGTGTCGGGGAAGACGGTGCCGAACTTGTACTGCTGCTCCTTGGCCGTCCCGTACCGGAACGCCTGCCGGCCACAGGTTCAGGAGCGTCACATTATGTCGGTTACACACGCCCGGAGGGCGTTTCGCATACGAAAAGAGAAATGTATCGGCAAACTGCTGTGATATTTACGTGCAGATAGGATACGACGTCGAGAGGGAAAACAGGCCAATGTCACATAGTCCGCGACAATATAGTTCCCGACAAAATTGGGTTCACCGGACGCTGCAGCCAGCCTCTGTTACCAACCGACCGACGAGGTCTCCAATTGAACTGTGAGTTGGCACACATTGTCCCGAGCCTCCGTCACTCACCGACCGACGAGTGCTCCAACTGACCCGGCAGTTGTCCGACGGCGTCACCAGCATCAGTCACCTATGTAAGGACGAGGTCTCCGACTGACCTGCGAGTTGGCCGGCGGCGTCACCAGCACAGTGGTGTCGTCCAGCTGTTCCACACATCGCTCCTCGCCTTCTGGCACGGGCCGCAGTCGGCACACCACCTCCACGGGGTCGACGCCGTCCGACTGACCGGGCCGCGCCGGCCGGCCCGGCGTCTTCCGCACGCCGGCCTTGGTGCGGCTGGAGACAACAAAATACCGCTACCATCAGAGGAGGGGAGATGGGCAACACAGCACTGGCAGAAACTGCGCTGGTAGGGTGTGACGATGGTTAAGTAGCAGGGCTTAGCAGTAGTGCTGGCTGGAGACATGTATCAAGGAGTCAGAACGAGAAAATATGAAACCCTGTGAACTATTGAAAATCCTCATAGTGATGTCTCCTGAATATCCAGTTTCCTGCATGGCAACCATTAAAAATAGCAGGGTTCAAAGGCAAGCAACCTTGTTTAAGCGTTTCTTACCTGGGTGTTACACTACACAACTTTGAAATTCTCATGCTTTCCTGGATGCTGTAGTACAGCTTAAGGAGGCAAGGACGAGGTTAAAAACTCTTGAAGGCAGGACACATAGGTATGTTTGCTACCTGGAAAAGTAGTGTGATGGTAAACATGTACAGCCAATGTAAAAAATAAATTGGGTTAGCTACTTTTTTACTTTTGACACCTTGAGTTATTCAGTGGACCCCAAGGCCCAAATGGTTTTAAGGAACACATTAAGAATTACCTGCTTTAGAGATAGCCAGCATTCAAAAACTTGGACAGAGTGAAGGAATGAATATATTTTGTTTCAAGCTAATACCAGAATGATAAAATATGCATTAGCTGAAAATAAATAGCCAGAACTTAACAGCTGCATGACCAGTTGGAGTAAAGCCTGGATGCTGCTACCAGACATTGGCACTGTTTTCCTGAAACATGCCCAGGTAAAAATGCCCACTTTACTAAAGTCTCCATAGAAGCCTAGCACCAACACTAAGGTAGCATCAAGAAGCAGTGTACCATGAAACAGGGCTCTCAAAGTCACCATTTCAGTCAAGCTAGATTGAGATGGAAATGAAGATTGCAAGGTATTGCACAGGTACAGAGTTCAAATTTCATGACCCTACAGGTAAATCAATCCATACCCATGAGTTGAGAATGAGACAATAGCCATACATGTCACCATTTGGCAGCCTCTCTGGGTGAGTCATAAGCCAGTCACTGCCAAAAGTAGTGGCATATCAGTTTCAGCCTACTTTTGGGCTGAAACTGCCTGCCTGATGCTGTTCAGTCAATAGCTCAGAAGCCTGGTCCTTTTTGTTTGATAGCACTAGGAATTAGGAAGGTACTTACTACTTGCATACCTAAAAGATACATTTATACAACAGAAAGAATATCTCATATTATCAAAGTAAAAACTCATATGACAGACTAAATTAGAATAGAAGGGATTGTGATAACTAGTAACTACCTACATCAACTTGAACTGTAGTGACGGCAAACCGTCACAGACTTTGCTTCCAAGTTCTAAAATGTGTAACACTACAAATCATGAAAGCACAATAAGTGAGCCGTAAATACTAAATACCACATAATTCAATCCATATCGATAGTGAAACACCCACGCAGTCATTTTCTAATAATGTTTATGGCTTATGGTCATGGCAATTTGAATTGAAATTGCTACTTACAGAGGACGCATTTATCACCTAATCACCGCCAGGCAGAACGAACAAGATCGGGACTCCTTCAGTAAGGAAAAATCAAATAGAAAAACGCATCTAACAAATCAGAACAATTCTACAAAATAAGCAATAAAACTATTCAAAATTCACACATTTATCACACACAACGCTTCACGCCGGTGGACCAGCTGATTTTCAAATTTTGGCGGCACAGCCAATCACCTTCCAGTATTACTAGTGATGGAAAGGCTGTGGCACTTTGAAGTACTTGCGAGTAAAAAATAAAACATCTGCTATTTTTCCAAAGGTACTATATGTAAATCAATGTGAAAGCAAAAAATACTGATATTTTTCCTTAAGTTAAATTTACTCTGTCATTGGTTTCTTGATTAGCTAGAATTCATGAGTATTTGCCTTTAAAGTACACACTGGGTACTTGTTTTTTATGAAATGGAAAAAATGAAAAAAATAGCCCATTTTGAAATGGGCTAGGAGAAATGAAATGAAAGAAATCAGCTTTCTTTGTTTTTATTTTAAAAGTTGTGGTTAAAATAAATGTTTGAATTCAATTTCATCAGTTTAACGTAACAATCAGCATTCTTTATGGCGTAAACAACGTAAAAAAGTGTAGCTTGAAAACTGTCTGTGTTTTAGAGAGACTGTACCATTTTCCTAGTGCGCCACATTGAGTGTGGCCTTGAATTCATTATCTGCTACAAGGCAGATCTGCTATTTGTTGTCTCTGAGGTCGAGAGAGAGGAAGAGGGGTGGTGAAAAAATTTGATGAATTATCAAGATTTTCCGTCATTTTTGCAATCAAAGTAACGTTTAAAATACAAGTTAACACATAGGCATATATTTGTGATAAGTCATTTGCGTTTTGGTTTTCGCTTGTGCCTCTGCTCCAATCCAGAAGTAAGTGAAGCCTGGTTTGGTGCCTGATGATGTTGTGGAGAACGTCGTCAAACATGTTAAATTAATCTGCTGAAAATGGGTATGTGTTGTTACTGTATTGGAGGATGACAGACTTTCAATTGCCTTGCATACACCAATTAACCTGGATGCAAGGCATAATAGTCTGCTGTGTCGGTGTGGGTGCGCTCAGCTGCTGTACAGTCTGTCTTAAAAGTACCGCGCAAAGTGGCGGTGGATCCATCAAGCCTGACCGAGAAAGGTCTGCTTTAATTTGAAAGTCACCGAACCAATTGAGCTGGGGAATGGACGAGGATGTCCATTGCTTCGGTGACCCAAATTTAGCAGGCCCTTCCTCAGTCAGGCTCGATGGATCCACCGCCACTTTGCGCGGTACTTTTAAGACAGACTGTACAGTGTCCCATGCGGTGTGGCTTAATAGAAATGTAGTTAGAATTTGAATCAAGAAGTGGGCTCCTGATGTGGCACCATGTTGGACTGCTGTGCTGATGATTTGATTCAGAAAATGATGGGCATTACTGAGGCGCAAGTTTAAATGCTACCTACGTAAAGTGAGGTAAAACTGGAAGGATTTATGTATTTCAGTCAATACTTATGTGACAAACCACAACTATCAGAGTGACAACAAGCAGCACACCATATCAACAATGCTGGAAGCTTGCACATACCACACTTCCCCAAAACTGGTAAATGTCAAGATAAAGTCTGAATAAGTTTTTAAGGACAATTAGGACTGGTGCATACTAACAAAGTTATAAATGTGGTTATTATAAAAAAGCAAATTAGACAAATTATTCCCTGGCCAGCCTTACTGCTAATGCCATATATCATTTGGCTTTGCCTAATCTTAAAAAAAGATAAATTAAGTCTGCTGCCAATGTCATGTTTTGCTGTGTGGCCAATTTGAATTCATATGACAAAAATAAGGGCAAATGCTATACAAGTGGCTAAATAAGTCATGTCCTTGGTTAAGTATGGATTTTTAACACAGGTGCATACTGGCATGTAAGTGATGTGATAAGTAGTGAAGTGTTCTGTCTGTATGTCTTAATGCTCTGAATAACATTTTAGGGTGACATGAGATTGACTTCTGATACCCTTTTATGACAGACACACATAATACTTCATTTCTGAGTTCTGACTAAAGTGGCTAATACAATGCATCATTTGCAAAACATTCCTTATTTCCTAGCCTGGCACACTGATTAAAGTGAAAAAGCCCAGAACATACCTATCTCTTTAAGTTACATGTTCCAAAAGCTCAGCATAAAAGCACTTTATCTGGGAGGGACACAATCATGCTTTATCTTTCCCATTGTACCTACAACCCAATTATTACCTTTTGAATTTTGATATCTTTTAATTGATAATAAATACTTTCTGATGTCATAGACTTTCTAAATAAGCTCATAATCTTATTTGTATACCTTAATTGATTATTCTATCTAAAAATTAGGATGATAATTCAAATAGAATATGCATAGAAAACCTCCAGAGTTTATATCAGGGTGAAATTTATCTTCCTTCATCTTGCCCATTATCTGATGCAGTTTGTCATGGTACATTTCCTGTGTAGGTATTCTTGCATGGATGCATGGAGTGGACAATCATTGCTTAGTCAGGAGTCATGGCTCATGAGAAGGGGAAATGCAAGCCCACCAGAAAGTCCATGTAGATAATTTGTTTTGCACATTTTCTTTTGTTTAGATCCGAAAATTATCAGCTGGCTGATTTCATCATCAAATTAGGAAGTTGAGAGAATGGCCATTTCATGGCAGATTAGCCAAGTATGGCAGCACAGCAGTAAACTGCATAAGTCTTAGGACTACTCTGAACAGCTCACACCAGGGGGACTTGAAATCTACACCAGGCAGACCAAGCATGGGATAGAAATGGGATAATGCCATTTATAGCCCAGCATTTATTTGTTGGTGAAGCCACACTAAATAATTTATTGCCTGGTTGTCAACCCTGCAGATCTCAGATGTGAGATGGGTCATAACGTTTTGCACTGCTCACCATCGCCGCATTGTCACATAGGACTGGCAGGGCCTGCACTGCACCATGTAGAATGTGCACAACATTGACTGAGACCCTACACTGACCATATTCTCGTTGAAAGTCGAAACTACCATACTTCGCGGTCTGCGTAACAGCCAACCTCTAGTCGGCGGCTTACGGCCGTTCAGAATCCACCCGCCTCCCTCCGGGACTGAAGGTATTTGGGGCTGTCGATATTTGTTTTTGGCAAAGTCTGGCTGAGAAAGCATGTTCACAAGGAGGGCTGTTCACGGGCCCTGTGTGCGGTCAGACCGCATACACTACACAGCCTCCAAGCTCCGCCCACTGCGTCCCTACGTCAGCCTTCCGTCACCGCACACAGCGACCGCTGTGGCCGGTCGGGACTGGCCACAGCGGACCGTCCACCGCACGCAGCCGTGACGTCAGAACCGCCTACCCATCCCCTACCCCCACGCCTGTCGCCTGCTGCACACACTGCACACACCGCACTCAGCAGTTTGAGGTGCCCGTGAACACCCCTCAAGAGTGGATCATGGGTGGATCGCCTCCAGCCGACCAGCTACCTCCTTGGCTATAGACTCGTCACCTCCTTGGCTATAGACTCGCCATCTCCTTGGCTATTGACTCATCATATCCTTGGCTATGGGCCCGCTACCTCATTGGCTGTGGACCCGCTACCTCCTTGGTTATAGACTTGTCACCTCCTTGGCAATCGTCAGCGACGAATTCTGCTTCAAAAGCAGCTTGGCCTCTTCCGCCTAGGGCGTCAAAACTGCGCTGATCCGCAATTCCGCAGTCCAAACCAGTCGCTCGACGCTTCTGGGAGCCCGTAAGGGGTGCATTGAGCTATGGACAGACCCCGTTTGTCTGTAGTGCATGGACACAAGCACTCGCCTCAGGATCGACACACCCGAGGCCTCTTGCACCAAACTGCCTAGCTAGGTAAAATCGAAAAACCGGTTTCAGAATAAGCTAATCTAAAGGTGGTAAATTTGTTTGCAATAGCCCAATACATAATCCTACATTTTTTTGCTAAATTTTGCACGCAAATTGTTACTTGGACTGGGTATACGATGCAAAATAATCCAAGCATTGGTGCAAGAGGCTTTTGGTGCAAGAGGCCTCAGCTCGGAATAATCTGGAAGATGGACATTTGACTGAGACGAAACACAGGCTAGTATAGCTGCTGAAGCGGATTGGACGCCTGTGAAGTGCCCTTTTTTTCCGAATTGCCCATTCAAAGGCAGCATTTCAGCGCCAGCTTTGGAGGGTCCGGCTGCGGTTGGTGCGGAGATGCTTAAAGCCTTAAAGCCAGACGGGTCGGTGCCGAGTGCCGAAAGGTTTAAACAATGGTCTTTGGAGCCAGTCAGCCGTCGATGCCGGATATTTAAATTGCTGTTGGTGCTCAAAGAGTCAGCGAGGCCTGGGTTCTGGGAAGGGCAGCGGTCTATGCAGGGGTGGTCAGCAAGAACTCGGTGCAGAGAGAGTCGAATTTGTTTGATACACAAGAGAATCGACCAAGTTTTGTGCCGAGAGAGTCGAATGTGTCCGGTGCCGAGTAGACTGTGTTCGGTGCCAAGTCGACTAGGCGTGGTGCTGAGACTCGCCTGTGTCCGGTGCCGAGTCATACAGCGGACGGCATTAGCAGACGCCGGTCGGTGTCCTTTCGCCAGTGCATGAACAGACGCCGAACGGCTAGTGGCCGGCCGCTGGAGACTGACCTCCCGCCGGCCGGCCGGCCCGGCGCGGTGGCGCCCCTCGTCCGGCCAGGGGCCGATGGAGGCCGGATAAGGACAGCGGCCCGGGCCGTTAGTGGCAGTGTACGCGGCGGCTGAGGCGCCTGGAATGTGGGCGCGTTGCACCAGCCGGGCCGCGGTGGCCCCTATTATGCTCGCTCCGTACGCTGCCGACTGTATTTGTTGTCAGGGGTGCCAGTCGAGGTCGGGCTGCTGTTCGGTGTCCCAGATGGGGGTGGCACGTTGCCCGTATTTGGACGTTTATCAGTTGACGCTGGTCAATTCGTCAATTCTTTCTTCACGACTTTTGTCCCTGCTGTTAAAAAAGCTGAAAGCCCTTTAGTTACTAAGCACCGAGCATGACCAATGTTAAACTGAACGGGTCAACTGATGCAGTACTGCCGGGTTAAGGAGTGCTGAGTTGGGAACTACCATCCCGCCCCCTTACCCCCCCCCCCCCTCCCCCTCCCGGCATCAGCCGTCGACTCCGCTCGCTGGTAGCGAGGACACGTGCAGCTGAAGCGCCCGGTGGATTCACGGCAAAAAAATCCGCCCGCCGTCCATGAACTTTGACCGCTCGCTGTTGGGCCGTGGAGACAGTACCACTATTCGATCCCTTATGAATCAGATGATTCAGCTATTTATGTCCCGAAGATACACAGACCGCTTTTAGTTAAACTACGCTATCGGCAGAAACTAGCAAACCGTGTAGTCCTCACGTAGCTCTTGTTTACTCGACGGGCTGCAAAACGACATTCTCGGGGATGAGTGACCTCAAATTCAGGAAGCATTTATAGAACTGGTAAGACATGAGCTAGTTTTCACAGTCAATGGATGCTGTTTTCAACCGTTTTCGACAACGGAAGCGTGTGTTGCTACGCGAATTTTTCGTTTTTTTTTTTTTTGTTGTCTTTACTGTGGTCTTATTCGATTGTTTGGGTTATTGCTTTTGAAGTTTCTGCAAATATTGACTGTGGACATTGAAAAGAATGTGAAGAAGAAGGAGAGATCATAATTGGCGATGTGTCTTCCTGCCCAACTGTCCCGTTGGTGTCCCGTGTGGTGTGGAGCGAGCCTTGGCGGTCACCAGACGCGCTCGGCGTCCGCACGGTGCCGATGTCACAGTCCGGCGCAGTTCTTCCCCGTTCATACCGCGCGAGGGCGCCTGTCCAGCACTGCTGCGAACCGTCGGACAACCAACGGCCCGAGTAACAGCCCGTAAACGCTGCCAGTCGCTGGGCGCCGCCGGTCGCGGGGCAATGCGACGGTAATGGGCGTTTTGCGGTCGCTGCGGCGGCGACATGTGTGCCTAGCGCTGCTCAGCGGCCTGGATCGAGGCGGGTGCGTCCGACCGGCCGGCTGACCCGTCCGTCAAGCCGCGGCGGCAGGACCGCGGTCCGTAAACAGTTGACGGCCCGCGAGCGGCGGATGAAAGGCCCGCTTGACGCTCCGACCGAATTCATACCGCACCGTAGTCAATATCAGGAGTGGTCTGTCGAGGCCCCTAGGGGTGCAACGCCTGCTGACTAGGATGGCTTCTTGCTTTTGGAAAACTACTAACTTACAAATCTACAAAAGTCTGAGTGTTTTAGGCTTGAATGAAAAAATCGTGTTGATATAAGCACAGGTTGTTGGGTCATGCGTGGCAATGATACATGATATAACGTCCATTTATCAATTTAATATACCGTAAAACGGGGTGTTAAGGGACAGTTTTGAGGTGTTTTGTTATATAACTCAAGAAGGGTTGGAGATAGAAGCATGAAATTGTCAGCATTTTATGTGGAATTTGGTGCTTTACATGCCTGCCACATTAAAGTTTTTAAGATTTATACCTGCATATTATTTTTTATTATTTTTCATCACTGTCCCTTAGCACCCCAATGTGGGGTGTTAAGGAACACCTATATTATTCCAAGAAATGGTCATCAAATGCCCACAATTGGGGTGTGGAAGGGCACACAATTTATTTATTGAAATGTTTTGCATATTCTGTCACAAAACAAGTCAGGTTCATTCACCACTAATGAACTTTTTAGCCAATTACGTGTAATGCAGTTTACGCTTGTGGAAAATGTGCTTATTATAAGGTAAACAGAACCAAAAAGTAATCTTCTGTCAGCAATAAAAAACCCATGTTGAAGCTAGTCACTTGTCATTATGTTGCCCTCTTTGTTTTAGCCTTTCTATGATGACATTACATTTACCTACATCAGTCTCCATTGACCCATCATTGTAAAAGAGAGTGTTGAGATGTTTTGTTACATAACTTAATATGTGTTAGAGATAAAAGCATGAACTTGCCAGCATTTTATGTGCAATTTGGTGTTTTCCATGCCTACTGAAAGAAAACTTAATGAAATTATGCTTAGATATTATTTTTTATTTTTGCTTCCCTGTCCCTTAGCACCCCACATCCACCTCAAAATATGCATGTATCCGGAAAAGAGGAAGAGGATGATGAATGAATGGGTGGATTTGCACAAGTTTTTCAGGAAACATGTGCAATACATGTGACAATACACCTATGTTTTCATTTTCCCTGTACACCCACTGATTTATGTGGTACACACAGAGTTTTGGAGATGTTTCAATTTTGTGAAAATGTAGCATGATTTTCAAATCCATTTTTGAACCAAATCACTTGCATGAAAAACCATACCATTTTGTCCTATGGTCAAGAGCAAAACAGTGTCAACTACCACACTGAAGTTTTTATTGAACCTTCTCAAATTAGGAAGTTAATATGACTCAAAGTTTTTCCCATGCAACTGTCCCTTAACACCCCACTGTCCCTTAACACCCCATTTTACGGTACGTGAATTATTTTGATGTCTTGTTTTTCGCACACACTCTAAGCCTGATAAGTAAGTGTAGGCCATCCCTGACCCTGGTGAGTAACCATGGTAGATGAGACCGAAGTTCTACATTGCCGTAACCTTTGTCGCACTGACTGATCGCCTGGTCGCGTCCGTTTTCCAGTGAGCATCACGGGCGAGTTCGTCGAGCGACTGCGGACCGAGTTCGCGGCCGACCCGAAGAACCGTCTGGCGCAGAACATCTGCACCAAGTATGACCCGAAAGAGGCGGCCAGGTCGCGCAGCGCCCTCGAGGAGGTCAACCACGTGTTCCAGCACAAGGTCAGTGCCAGCGACTGGCGGCCGGGTCACGGGCAAAGCACCAGGGCACGCCGGAGGTAACAGGGAGGTCGCTCCACTTCAGAGCAGAGCTCGAATACGGTTCGATCGATGTTGTCGGTTATCCGTGTTGGTTGTATGCCTTGTCACGCCACGATGTGACTCCTGCATCCTGCTTTCCCCGGCCCTGGCAATGGCGACTGCGGCTGTGACCTCAGCATTGTCAGTTTGCTGGAGCATTCGCACACGAAATCCGATGTCTTTAGGAGGTCATCGGTGGTCCTTATTGTATATTTCCCTCGAAGGAATGCCTGCTCATCCGCGTACTGCTTTCAGCCATGTAGCTATAAAAACGTCTTTATTAAACAAATAATCCAACGCCCTGTGGGCAACCGACGTTCCATGAAGACTTAACTGTCTGTTTTCAGTGTATCCCTGTGTCCATGTCTTGGTGTGATTTACAGCATTAGCAGTATCCGCAGTTGCCTGTTCTGGGGATTCTACATATAGTAGGTAATATGGGACATTAGCCGGGCGGTAACTGAGCGCAGGATGCAGTCTGGCTAGAGGATCGGATGCCAAATGTTTAAGAAAATGGAGGGGCTGCGTGGATACGTGCCTGGTAATGTGTGGATAACGATGTGGAACGCCGTATGTGGCTTTGGGTTGGTTTATAATTAACATGGCAGTACCTACACTTATACATCCGAGAATAGCTCTGAAGATTGCCGAATTCGTCCGAAGAATCCGACGACTCGGGTTGTTGCAACTTAGCTCAACATGACCGTCATGCCGTGTGCCCTCCGTCTAACCAGGCCGACTGTCGTGTTTGGCTCAGGTGGACGAGGTGCGGCCGCGCACCTGCCAGGGCTCCACCGGCCGGTGCTGGATCTTCGCCGGACTCAACGCCATGCGCATCCCGCTCATGAAGAAGCTCGACATTGAGGAGTTCGAGTTCAGCCAGGCCTACCTGTTCTTCTGGGATAAGGTAAGGCGGCCTAGTGGCGAGTGCTCGGCCTATTGTTGTACGTCTCCACTGTATGTGGCCATGTGTCTGATGTGTTTGATCGTGTATCCGCCGTAATGTGACCGTGTGCCGGGTGTTAATGACCATCATGCGTCCGGTCTGCCATATGTGGCATTTTGTTCGCCATATGTGACCGTGTGTTCGCTGCATACGACCTTACGTCAGCTTTATGTGACATTGTGTCCGCTGTATGTAACCATAATGTCCGCACTCCACCGCATCCAAGTATCCGTGCCTGGCACACGTGACAATATGTGTGAACTATCCGCCGCAGGTGGAGCGGTCCAACTACTACCTGCACACGGTGGTGGAGACGGCGCGGCGCGGCGAGCCCGTCGACGGACGGCTGGTCAGCTTCCTCCTCTCGGTCAGTGCTGTGGCGGTCTGCGGTCTGCGGTCAGCGGCGCGTCTCTGTCCGCGCCCCGGTCCGAGCACCCCACACACCCTCTACCTGGCTGGTCAATGACACTTGCGTGCCCGCTGAGACAAGCTAGCTGATATGTCTGTTATGTGCTGGAGCACAGACGTCTCTATATAGCTGGAGTGATACAATCTTCTCCGCGCATTGCACATTTTACGATGCAAACAAAATGTTAGTTATCTGCTTGCATCGCATTCTTGCTCTGCGCATTACCCATTTACCGTACAAGTAAAATGCTAGTTAGCTACGTGCATCGCATTCTTGCGTTTTACTTTTTCAGTCATACAAGGCATTTTATCGTCCGACGTCGAAAACTTACCTACTGATTGCGTGCAGATACATGGTTTTCCTCGTCAGTGTTCGACTAAAATTGTAGAGCCTTATCCGATTTGGAGTGGTTATGAGCGTTCTGAGCATCTCCGTCATAAGAATATTTCCTTTACCGGGATTGTAATCGTTTGCAATCTCAACAGTGTCAAACTGAAAAAGTAACTGGAGAAAATTACTTGTGTTTGTATCTTGCAAACAAAAACTGACTTATACTAGCAAGTAGCAGTTATCCATTTCTAGTGAAGTTATCACTGATGTCCAAGTGAGTAAAATGTGAAGTGAAGCGATTTCCTGTCTGAGGGTTATCAGATCGCTTAGCGGCCTCTTTGTGTGTGATGTGGATTGAAGTAGATGTCCACGCCTTTGTTGACCGCACCGATGGTGTCGCTGGCAGAGCCCTGTGTGTGACGGCGGCCAGTGGGATATGCTGCTCAACCTCATCAACAAGTACGGCGTCATGCCGAAAAAGTGCTTCCCCGACGCGCACAACTCCAAGTCCTCGGGCGTCATGAACACGATACTCGCCAGCAAGGTGAGGTGCCATCGCCGCATCTGGAAGGACGGGGTCCTGGCGGGTCCGGACAGAGTGCGAAGGAACTCTCACGTGAATAATGTTTTATGATAATTTTGTAAGCTACCCGATCTATTTTGCAATATTTAAAATAATAGCTTGCCAGAAGAAACAGCCGCTTTGATTCCACTTTGCGTAGCAGATCATGTTCCGGCGTTGTTTCCTGCGTTTCGTTTTGGTGCCCGTCCAGGGCCGTGGCCGGTAACACGTTGGCAGCTTCGAGCGGCTGGTCCGCTTCTCGGCGGCTGACGGGTCTGTCTGCCTGCTGTTTGTGTCTGGGTCCCGGCCCGCCCCCCGGCGACTGGGACTGACCGACGCTTTGTGCCCGGCAGCTGCGGGAGTACACCCGCGACCTGCGCCACCTGGTCCAGAAGGGCGCCACCGAGGCAGACGTCGAGTCGACCATCAAAGACCAGATGACGCACATCCACCGGATCGTCTCCATCTGCATGGGCATGCCGCCGGCCTCCTTCACCTGGGAGTACTACGACAAGAACAAGGCCTACCACAAGGTCGGGCCCGTCTCGCCGCTCGACTTCTACGAGGAACACGTCAAGCCGCACTTCAATGCCTCTGACCTGGTGAGGCGGTGTGATACCGAGAACGGGTGCTGGCTGGGACCCGCCCGGCCGTGCCCCCTCCCCAGGACGGCAGGGGTTAACACAACAGTCGCCGCCGCCGGAATGCACCGTCGCCACGCCGCGTCACCAATCACCAGCAATGGAAATGTTTACGCTGCCGTGTAAACTCAGATACGCCCCGGCTAGGATATCTCGGCCTATGCGACACTTCGCGGTGGTTATATAACAGCCGGGTGGCTATCGCAAACTTTTTTGTTACTTTACTACGTAAGGACGTTTTTTAACGGTAAGAAACGTTCGACGGAGGAAAATGCTTGACTTTTGGCAAAAGGGGCATGTCCGAGAATCTGACGATCGCGAGTCCGCGACTTCGGTAGTAAGTGTCAATAAGGCTCGCCCCTCCACTGAGCTGCCGTTTGAATACTGAAATGATGCCGTTTGTGTACCATCTGCGCAGGTATGCCTCATCCACGACCCGCGTCCGGGCCACAACACGGGCGACGCGTACACGGTCGACTGTCTTGGCAACATGGTGGGCGGCCGGCGCACCATCTACAACAACCAGCCGGCCGAGCTGCTGGCGCGCCTGGCGGCCGCCTCCATCAAGGAGGGCAACCCCGTCTGGTTCGGCTGCGAGGTCACCAAGGCGTTCGCCGGCAAACTGGGCATCCAGGACCCGCTCATGTGAGTGAGACCGGCGGACGCAGGGGCGGGTGGGTGAAGTCTGGACGATGCCGTTTGTGTTTGATGTTGAGTGGTGTTATAGGGCAGTCAACAGGGATCTTAGTTCACCGTGTTTGACGAGACCATTATTTTATCAGGTGGTGCCGATCGCTGTTCAACTTCACTCGCTTCTCTTGATGTGCTAAGTGTGGTATAGGTCTACACTGTATTTATAATGCATCGTGTTACATTCAACTCAGGCTCACTGTAACTGATAACAGCAGTTCGTTCTACCCTCTCATGCAGTCCCCTTTCTCTGATCACCCATGTGGCGTCCCCCCGACCTCGTCCCCCGCGTGACCCGTTTGCTGTTCCGGCCGGCAGCCACGACTACAAGCTGGTGTTCGGCACGGACGTCTGTCTGCCGATGACCAAGGCCGAGCGGCTGATGCACGGCGAGTCGATGATGGACCACGCCATGTGCTTCACGGGCGTTACGCTGGACGTAAGTCGGGACCCATGGGGACCGCCTAACAGGTGGGGGATGGATGCGGGTCGCTGTCTTTTGCTGAGGTGTGGAAGTTCGATACGTAAGGATGGCTTTTTGATTGAATGGTGATGTTTTGATGGTTTGAGGTAATCAATATTGTTTTGTGGGTTTGTGCCTTGTGGGTACGAGAACAGCAGGCGTGTTGAATCTGAACGGGATAGCGAATGAGATTAGGACGAGATCGGACGATTAGGAATTTTTTCATGACTGTTGGGTGTTCCATCCCGTCCGCCCGGCCGCTCTCCGCAGTCCGCCGCTGACCTTGTGACCCTCTACCACCACAGGATGACGGCACGCCGGTCAAGTGGCGCGTGGAGAACTCCTGGGGCGAGGATTACGGCGACTCGGGCTACCTGGTCATGTCGCACAGCTGGTTCCTCCAGTTCGTGTTCGAGGTGAGTGACTGGTGGTCGACCCGCCGCCGAAAACGGGTACCTAGCTGAGCGGGAAACTCACAAGGAGTTCATAGGGAAACCGTTTAGTTAACTTGATGCGCTCCATTGATCCCTTTAGGAAAACTAACTTGCCTAGAGCACTACTTTTCACAAGTATACGCGGTAACCTCCAGCTGCTCCCTTGGATAACGGACTGATTCGCGACTGGACTACGCTCTGGCGGCCGTTCGGCAAAGCTGAGTTGTCCCGTTCCGCCGACAGGTGGTGGTGCACAAGAAGTACGTCCCGGAGGAGGTGATGGCCGTGTTTGAGAAGGAGCCCACCGTGCTGCCTGCCTGGGACCCGCTCGGAGCTCTGGCCCGTGTGTAGGCGGACCGGACGCACTGGCGCCACCGGAGGAGCCGCCGCCGCCGGGTCGCTGGCACCGCGCCGCGGAATCCAGCGACCGCCGGCAATGACCATTCTCGGCTGGCTGGGAGACTGATTGGCCTGCTGCTGACTTCTGAACCCGGTGTGGATATGGCGTGGATATCATGAATGTGAACTCACTATTTACTCTCTGGCAACGACACGAATCAGTTCGGGTGTATACTGATCAAGGAACGTTCGCCATAATTGAACGAACGCTATTAGAGATACTTAACCTATAGAAAGATCCTTTGAATCAAAGTGGTTTCATATCAAATCTAGCCTATTTTCTTTGGCCTAGTCTGACCTTCGAGGAGATCGGACGGTTTGACTGAGTGACCTCCCAGGACATCGGGTACTCGGTCGCGGACCACGTTGGCAGCGTCGCAACACGGTGCCTGGTGCCTGAGCGTGGCGGGCGGTCCGCAGACGGCGGTGGCGAGCATTGTTAGTACAACGCCGGTCGAGGAGCCAGTACGGGGCGGCGGGACTAGGCACGAGCGCCGCATGCGGCAGCCCTCAGCTCGGTCTCGCGATTCCGCCGCCGCCGCGCGCCAAGATCTGATGGTTGACGGGCGTCGCGCCGGGCCGGCGAACCGTCGCGCGCCCCTACATCTGACGGTGGGTGTTTTGCCAATGGACGGGCGGACCGGGACGGCCGGTCGGCGTTCGTGATGAATCAGCCGGCGCCGAACTGTGGTCCTGACGTTCTTGGGAGTGGCTGGACAGCCCCGGTAACGACTGCGCGAACCATCGTGCTCCAGCGGGCGTCCGCGCACGTCCCCGTTTGTCGCCGAGGCAACTTCTGTGAATACATACATGTATACGAGTGGTGGCTTAACTGTGTGTCGATGCTTGATACGGCGTGCGGGGAGGTGTAGCGCTCTCCGAGCCGCCGTCTGAGGTGACCGTTCAGATATAAACCGCGGTGTCATATCGCCGTTAGGGCTAGCATCGCCGACTGGCTGCGGTAACGCCTCATCGCTCAGCCAAAAGAAGCTACAAGGATTAAAGTGGGTGGTCTCCTTTATTTGGCTGTCTCATGAGTCAGAGCCCACCAATACAGGCCATATCACAGGTAAGGAGCCTCCTTCTTCCTTGGTATTTGAAACCTGCAATGTCATTATATCTTTCAAATTCGAGGTAACAACATGGTACTTGTTCACTTCAGACGAGGTAGAGACGATTCGTCAATGTGGATCAGACTACAGTCGCCTCTGTTGACAAAACCCGCCGCGGCATCCACAGATGAAATGGAGATCACATCACACGCGACGCTCGGCCCCGTCCCGAGGACCCGGCTCGTAGCCACAACTGTCCGGCAGTATCGCTGTCACGGTCCGTCTCTCCGTCTCTGTCCGTCCGAGTGGACGGGGCCAGCCGGCGGTCACCGCTATCTCGGCGGCGGGCGTTATCTGGCCGCCCCGGCGCGCTGCCGCTCGTACTGCAGCTTGTTCCAGACGCCGCGGCACATGGTACGCAGCCGCGGGTCGGTGCGGGCCGCCGGCAGCCGGTACTGCTGGCGCACCAGCGCGGCCGCCCACTCGAACCGGCCGCGCTGCATCAGACTGAGCGCCGCGTACAGCTTACAGCGCGCCTCAGTCAGCGGGTCGCCGAGCCGCAGCGCCAGCTCCAGCTGCTTCACGGATATCCGACCGGCCATCTCGGCGCACTCGGCGAAATAGTCGCCCAGCGCCGAGAAGGCGCCGCCCAGCGTGGAGAGCCATGACATCATGTGGTCGAGCTCGCGCCTTTCCCACAGCAGCAGCTGCACGCGCCGACTCCAGGCGAGGTCGAGCGGCGCGGCGCCGGGTGTGGTCAGCCGCAGCCGCAGCCGGCCGGCCTGGTGAACGCAGACGGCTCGCCGCTGCGCCGGGCAGTAGCGCAGCTCGCGCACCACCAGGCCCGCCTGCAGACCGGTGACCGGGTACGAACGGCGAGCCGCCGGCGCCGGCAGCGGGGTCAGCAGCGCCTCCACGGGCAGGCGGAAGCGCACCGTCAGAAACCGTCCATCCCCCACCACTGCTGCCCGCACACACAACATCGGCACCTAATGGGCAAAGATCAGTCATAAAGTACACACTGACATGCAGCATAAATTGGCAGCATGCATATGTATAGTACCTACCTAATCTGCCATCAACCATGGATTCTGAAACTGAACAGCCAAAACTTGAAGGTGCAGTACAAAGTAGGTAAATGCATCTCAATCTAGGAAAGTATGTGTGAGACAAAAAAGCATTATAGTTGAAACCTGTTGCAAAAAATGCCCTTGGCCATATCTAAAATGGATGAATAACATTTCAGTCGTTGCTTTTCAAATTTGTTAAATGCTTAATTTCATCAAAAGAACCAACCTGATCCAATCAAGAAAGAGCCAACATACCTTAACACTAAAAAGTCACAGTTGGATTGTCATTCATGATTTCAGCCTTTACTGCATGACTTTCGCCCATAATTAAAGGGTAGATTGACCTATTTTACAGCACACACATCATCACACATTGACATCACACACGCACACTGACACATCACTTAGCTTATTAATTACCAAGCACAGATATTTGAACGCGTATCTGATAAGTAGGTGTGAGCAAACATAGAAAAAAACATTTCCCACTCACCGTTTGATCCCCACAAATCCTCACAAACCAACAATTCAAACAATTTCAAATCGCTTACCTATGGGGGATTGGCTGTAAGTGAATGAATTGGTCAAGCTCTCTGTGAATGAAGATGTTTCACAGCTTGCAGGGTGTAGCAGATACTTATGACGCATTGGAAGGTTCCGCGAATGAAAAGGCCAGCTGCCATTCCTCTTACTGATAATGACAGAATAAAAGTACAATATTCAGGAAAAGGTGGAACATTATTTGTCAAAAGGTTGATGAAATAGAAAGTAGGCAAAGAAATAGGAAAAGAGATCGTTTTCAAGGAAAAATATCCGTCAAATGCCAACAAAAGTCTAGCCAGCGGAAAGTTATCTTGTCCAATGGTGAGCGAGATATTCATCTGATGCAATGACGTAGATGGAAAAGCGCTGATTGGTCATGACTCGCATTCAGTGATGCCATCCACATTTTTGCTCCATCCCAAGATCTCGACCAGAATTTCCCAAGATTCTCGTCTCGAATCCCAAGACTACCCATCGCATATCCTTAGGAGTACCCCAAGTAAATCCATAGCTTATTTTGGACATATTAGTGTGTTTAGTATTCAACTTTCTCTTCTTCGGGTCCATCCTTGTCCTTATTGGCGTATTTACAACAGCTAATGTACAGCCCACCGCTAAAGTAATGTGTGGTTTTACCAATCTCAACGGATGGCTTTGACAGACGATTTTTAAATGCGGACTGATTGAAAAGAAGACGTCAATAGATAAAGTTGTAGCTGCAAGGGTGAAGATACATGTAAGCTACATTTAAAGTCTCGTTACAGTCTGACTGATCGTTCCTAGGCTTCAGAAGCAGAACATACCCATGACTGAAACCACACATTACTTCTGCTGTGAACTGTACCTAGAGGCCGGGGGAGGGGAGGGGAGGGGAGGGGGTTGATCGGACTCCTACAGCTGATCGGTTCCTGACCGAGTATAAGAGCTTCACGAAAAATGAAGATGCTGGCCCTAGACAACATGAAGCCGGTGGTATCTGATATTATGGTCAGGTCATTCGTCTACCGTCAATGGTGGGTCAAGGACCCAAAACACAAAGTCCGAATCTGTTAGAACTTCTTGGAAACGAAGTCTGTGGCATTTTGGATTTATTTCGAAATTTGTCCCGTGACACATTTGGAGAAGCTAGGGTCAGGTGAGGTCAGGCTGATTTTAAGTGTTTTCCACCACCGAGTTTTGAAATATGGGCTCCAAAACAAGCTCTTAAAAGCTTATGTGAATCCCGAAATCGAAAAGCCTATGCTGTGAATCTGCGCGTAAGCCAGTGCCCGCTGGGGCCCATGAATTTTCAAGCCGACGATGGCGAGGGGGTCTAAACGAGGACCTAACTCGTCCCCTGGACTATATAGTTACAAGACGTCAGCAGTGTTGTGAAGGTCGCAAGGTTACGCTTTGAATATTTTTGGTCCAGCAGAGCCAAGAGGTCAGGTAACCAGACACTTTTCCGAGGTCAAAGGCAAATTGCCCTTATGTTGGTTCGCGTTCAACGGATAAGCCTCCATAGAGCAAAACCGTAAAATGAAACGCTTTGTGCGGGAGCCGCTTTCTGAAATATTTTTTAGGCATAATGTTTGTAAAAGCTTTTCCTAGCCACCCAACATCATGCCGCCAAACCACCCATCCCCATTGATCGGTAGTTGGAAATTAAACAAATGAGCGCCAGTTGCGAACAGCAACTGAAAGCTGCTACTATACCCATAACAAGTAATGGTACAAAAAATAATGCTGCGATCTCGGGAAGATAATGCCTGCTAGAAACATTGCAAGCTTCGTCCGTTACTTCAATATGTTTGATTAACCGACCGTGAGGCAGATCCATCCTAAATCTATTATCGACCAAGGAAAAAGCATTCGACAGCATGAGAAGACAAAGTGAAATCAGCTTCTGCCAGATCCCAAGATATGCAGTGCAAATCACAAGATCCCAATGTTAATGTTCAAATCCCAAGATCTTGGGACAAATCCCAAGGAATGGCATCGCTGCTCGCATTGTTTATTGTGGCGCGGTGTGCCCGGCCGTGTTGATCGTGAATGAAGTTCTCGATGTTTCTCATTTGAATTGCAGGAATTCACGGCAGTGCTAATTTCTTTGATATTTGCTGTTGCTTCGCAAGATAACCAACAACATTTGGTGAGCTAACATTTTTTCATTCAGCCGCGTTCAAAGGTTAAAATGTGGTATCGGCTTATGTGGCGCACTGCTTTTAGTCATGAGGGACCAATATTTCCTTTGTCCTTTGTTGTAAGTCATTTTCTCACTCCTTGATTTTAATGCTAAAATTTTTATTCTTTTTATCACTTAAGTATCATTCAGTACTTTGCGTTGATTGGGATACCCATACTGATAGGTATGGTTGATGGTATGGTTATAAAGCCTGGCGGGCTGCGGACATGTAGTTACCTATGTATGGCACAAGATGAGTGCCAGGAATGTATGGAAAGTAAAAAGTAAAATCAAGAATGAGATGATTTTTATAGGTAGCCAGCTCAACCAGCCCTGGCCACCTAGGGTGACATAGGGTAGGGTGACACCACTTTGCCTGGGGGCTTTGGGTGCCGGTGTGGCTGGTTTAGTGTTGCTATGTTGTAGTTCTGGCCTCCGTCAAACAGAAGCTTGTGATCTTCCAAGTCTTTTTCAGTTTCTTTTGATCGCACTATGACCTATTTTGTTCCTTGTGCCTTGAATGACAAAAGGTGCTTGAGATGTTTCACATCTGATTTTCTTTTTTGCTCCCCTTGGGCTCAAGGTGTAATTTTGAGGGATGGGTCCATTATTTTACTGTTTAAATTTCTTGTACTTTTTGTCTAGAAGTAAATATGCTTCAGATATTTTGGTTGGAGAATATGAAACTTTTTCTGCCAAATTGACCAAGAAATAAATTGCTGATGACATTGTTTTGCTCTGCTTTTGTGTT